CCCCCCCCGGCGCCAACGCCCCCCGCCGATGATGTGTATGACGAAGTAGCTACCGGTGGTTGGATGAACCGAATATTTTCTTCTCTTATAGTCATAAACGATGATCCTTTTAACATAGAACTCTTTTGTCATTTTACTCAACTGAATGCTGGGGAGGATTTGGATTTGTCTGTTAGTAGATACATACTTTTTAGCAATTTTAAAAATAGCAGCTAGCGTTAGAAAGCATCATTGAAAAACCTTAATTCAAACTAATGTAACTATGCAGCAAAAAATAAGTGAAGTTCACATACTTGAGGTTTTATTTGGGGTGATTGAAGTTTTTCAAGAAGATGCATGTAAAATTGTGACTTGCAAAAATAATTTCAAAAATCAGATAACAGCTATTTTACAACCATCATAATATAATATGTCATGTTGAAAAAAATAGTTTCTCATCACAGAAATTTCAAGAATCAACAAGTAAGTAATTTTTCAGACAGACTGTCTTGACAGTCTGAAATGTAAAGCAGACAAAAGCTATCCCATCTCTCTCTCTCTCTCTCTGTATCCTTCCTATAACTAGGGTACACATATATAAATAAATAATAAGAAGATTAATTACCAATTATTTAATGTGGTTCACGGACACACAACATTATTCATCTTAACATTTATAAAAGAGAAATGGAAAATTGCACCCCCATAAGATCATCACGGGCATTTGAATTTCCATGAGCTCGATATACAATATAACTATAAAAATCATATAACAAATTCATCAAAATTAACGAATCTTTGCTTCCCCCGTTAAATTGATAACTTCAGCTCCAAATCCAACTCTTGCAAGTTGCTGGAATCCGATACTTGGCTGTTTGACCCGGCAGAATAGCTTCTGTCATTTCTATTTCTCCTCTGCACAAAATCCTGAAAAATAACTTAAATCCCTTTATATCCATAACTACAACTATATATATGTCTGTGTCTATGTGAAAATTTACTTGCATACCACGTAACTTTTATGTATTTACATTTATAAATGTATGCATGAAAGATGTGTTTCACTTGTGAAAAGATAATAAAGATGGCATTTTTGATGTGATGTTAAAAATTTAAGTGATATGCATGTAAATATGAATGCTTAAGGGTTAAATATGTAAATACTTAGATTCATTCCAGCATTTGTATTTCAACCAACCTCCATGAGTGGCAAAGTCACTGGTCCAAAATGGCTTGTCTGTGATACACTGCCGCTTCTATTTGGATGAAACCTAGCAAGCAAAATGGTATGACATAACAAAACTTCATTTCAAGCAAAATGAAAGTTGTCAAAGTTGATATATCATTAACATTATTGTTGACAATATTACATAAAGTATGTTATGTTAATGTTGGCCAGCACTCAGCAATCACCTTCAGTCCTCGTTTTATAAAAATTTCACATGCATAGTTTCGGTGCTGAAATTTTATTAATTCTACTGCAGGAAGAAGCATGGTTAATCAAATAATACACAAACCCTAGTTTGAGTCTAAAGCAAAGTACCTTGGTGAAACACAGAACTGAGTGTCACCAAAGGTAATATCTTCACCTCTGCTCTCTCCATATCCCACCTGAAACCAGAAGTAATTTAGCAAACTTTCATTATACAGCATATAAAGACAAAATAAAATAAAATAAAAATTCAATTTCAGATCAATCATAATGACAACATGGGAAAAAAATCAAATTGCAAAAGAATAAAAAAATTACAAAAAAAAAAAAAGACTTGATTCAGATTTCTGTATATGTTGATCACTAAGCAATTCATCAGGGGAAAAGATTAAAAAAAAGAACTTTGGGCAACATTATACAGGCAGAAAATTGATGGGAAATAATTGATAAATGAGAGTTTAGAGACATACTAACCATGGTGATATTATTAGGAAAAGCAGGATAAATTGATTGTTGACTGTAATTAGACATCATCTGGCTTTGAATTCTAATTTTTTCAAGCTGAGCCACACCAAGTCCTCTCTGAGGCTGCTTTATTGTTCTATCCATACTGCTTTTCTTTCCTCTCCTTGAACTTCCAGAACTTGATGATCTTCCTCCTCCCAGCTCATTCTCTCCTTGTTGGCCGCTCCCCATCATCTCTTGATGAAGAAAAGTAAAACAAATAGAAGAAAAAGAAGTTGGAAGAGATAGAGAGAGAGATGAGTTATGACAATCTACCTTACAAGTGAAAGGGAGATGACTCATTTTAAAGGAGAGAACATTGCCTCGACGGCCAACGAGGTGTCATGTCACACTCAAATGAGATGTATGACGATGTAGTGTCTGATGGTCCGGAGGCAATATTTTCTTTTTTTTTAAGGTTTATTTTAATTAAGAAATATGTGACTTTCTGGACTGGGGATTGGAGAAGATTACATGGAGATATTCTTTACTTTTATGTCCTTTGCCTTGTTGTTGAAGATCTCTCTTCCAATTCTTTCGGTCACTGGGAGCACCATGTGCAATGGATGGCTAATAATTAATAACAAAAGACTGACTTATGGGCAAGATTTGATAGAGATATACTTAGCTTTTAGGGCTTTCTTTCGTTAAATATACCTCATATCACGTTTTAGAACTCAAAAGGCATCTGTATGCTCCATACTCTCTAACTGGTAGATATTGTCGTTAAAAGCCTAGATAGCTTAAAGTTAAGAAAAATTATAGTTTTTTATATATATTTATCTTAAAAGTTAATGCAGCGTCAGCTATATACTACATGATAAAAGAGGCATAAAAACTTGCGTTTATTAAGTTAATGCAATTCATAAATTTAATTTTGTATATTTTGATATATCTATATCTGTATATAT